TACATAGATTGGTTAGTTAATGAACTAATGTACTGCTAATAAAAATCGAATATAAGGATGCACTTTTAGTAATGCTCTTAAAGATGCAATAAACCCATAAGCCAGATAGCCTTGCATATCCTTGAGTCTTTTCTTTCCTCCTGTGGGGTAAGTCTTGCTGAGTATAATTAAGTACTCAGGGTTTTATTTCCCCCTATTGCAGGTGACAGGTGGATGCTAGAGCTGATCCTTGTGTGTAGATTTCTTCTGGTGGGCTCAGAGAGGATTCCTTTACGCTGCGATCATAGTCTTTATTTATAACTCTTATTAAATGTTTTTTATGAATGAAAGTTTATAATATGTTGTCATAGTTTATATATATCAATACTTCATCATGTCATGAACATATATTTATTTTTGCTGTAATTCTGATCATATGTCTATATTCCGCTATTAAATTAAATTATTCATAACTCTGATAATATGTTCATATTCCGCTATTATAAATAATAAATATTATACTCTGATGTTACATGAAAAGTGATGTAAGAAATGTAATAATGATGTAAGCTTTATTCTCCCATTTGTGATCCTGATGGAAAAATGTGGATTTTTGGGTTCTCCCTTGGGATGCGCTCGATGGAACTGTGTAATTTGGTATTCTCCCATGAGTGCTTAGTGTCTAATGGAAGACATGCACTCATGGGAGGCATTAGATTAGACGGTTTTGCCACATAAATATCCATGCGTTGTACGGGCTCTAATTTTTTTAAGTGAACCTTACTAATTAGACATGAACGTGTGAGCTATCACAACTTTGTATTGGATGCAGACACATAGATTTTGTTTTTGTAATGGAATCGTATAGGATGCGAACGCGTCAGCTTTGAAGACTTTGTATCAAACGCGAACACATAGATTTGGTCTTCGTATCAGAACCGGGTATAACACGAACGTGTGTCGAGTAAAGGATGAATATTGATGTTTACATGATCACTTGAAATCGATTAGATCCATTTTATAGTGCAACACGTGTGTTCACCGTAGTTATCTAAGGTGAATTTGAGGGAATTATTATTTGCATATGTTTACTTTAGATAAACTTCTTATATCTTATTAAAATTGTTTTATTTGAGTTTTTAGGAGATTGATTTATTTTCGCACGGACACACGCAAGTATCAGACTTAGTTTCATCTATGATTTTTTTTGGAAACATTTTTTTGCCGGATTTTTTTTGGAAAGGTTTTCTTTTTGCCGTATATGTTTTTTCTAGAAATGTGTTTTTTTCGTACTTGTTTATTTCATAAACAGGGATGTGGAAGAGGGAACATTGTTTTTTACAATGTTTTTTTTGTTGTGGGTCGGGAGGCAGAAGATAGTTGTAGGGATTTTTTAGGTGTAGAGAGAGATATGTGTGACTTTGCTTATGAAATACTTAGGTGCGGACATCCGTTCCATCGTCCACAGACGAGGGGAAAAAAGGACATTTCCCCAGACGGTCGTGTGTCGCTCACCGTTGCACCATGTCGCCCGCCCACCGCTCGTCTTCTCTAGCGCAGGGGCGCCTCACCACGTCCTTCTCTAGCACGGGGGCGCCTCGCTGTGGCAGGCCACGGCTGCCTCTACCACGAGTGTTGCTCGTTGGGGGCACCATTGAAAGGTCCTTGTTTGGTTTTGGTATTTGAGTGACAACCCTAGGTGGATGAATTGAGTTTATGTGAGATACACAAGTGATTAGTCCACAGGTACATGTGTGTGAGCAACATATGCCATGGAGGTAGAAATTGCTCGGAGATGTTGTAAAGCTCACACATGTGATGATGAAGAAGCTCATTGCACATGAGACATGACATTGAGTCATGTGATCAAGGTGGAGAAGATCAAAACAAGACTTGGCTTGATGGTGTGGTTGCAAGCGTGAAGGGCAAGTTGGAGGCTTTAGAGCGATGGACCACATGGCGGTGAAGCTTGAGCAAGACTTGGCGCCGATAGACGAAGACAACGGTGAAAAGCAAGTAAAGTCAAGATCGATGAACCAATATGATCATGTGATGATATAAAGTGGATTATATCATTGTTGATTGTGTTGGAGCATGTGTTGCATCGATATTGGAGGAGATAGAATGGAATGCGCAAGGCAAAGTTATAACCATCATGTGTATGTGTGTTAGCATTTTCATAATCATTTTCCAAAGGATTAGCCACTCATCTTGCCACGCCACTCAATCCTAGCGATGATGCAAAGTTAGATCACTCGAGTGGCACTAGATGACCGATATGCAAACAAGTTTGCCCCTCTTGATTGTACGACCATCTATCCTAAATCCGGTCATAAACTTTTCTACACACCTATGACCGGTGAAATGAAATACCCTAGGTTATACATTTGCCTTGCGCATTCCATTCCATCTCCTCCAATATTGATGCAACACATGCACCAACATGATCAACAATGATATGATCCACTTCATATCATCACGTGATCATATTGGTTCATCGATCTTGACTTTACTTGCTTTTCACCATTGCCTTTGTCCATCGGCACCAAGTCTTGCTCAAGCTTCACCGCCACGCAGTCCATCGCTCCAAAGCCTCCGACTTGCCCTTCACGCTTGCAACCGGTCCATCAAGCCAAGTCATGTCTTGATCTTCTCCACCTTGATCACATGACTCAATGTCATGTCTCATTTGCAATGAGCCGCTTCATCATCACATGTGTGAGCTTTGCAACATCTTCGAGCCATTTCCACCTTCATGACATATGTTGCTCACACACATGTACCTGTGGACTAATCACTTGTGTATCTCGCATAAACACAATTAGTCCACCTAGGTTGTCACTCAATTACCAAAACCACACAAGGACCTTTCACCGGCCCGCTACCATCCTCCTCCTACACTGTGACCTAGCGCTAGATCTCGTCGTGCAGCGCTTTGCCGCCCACCTGCCGGGTTTTGCTGAAAGCGTATGCATGTTACAAGTGTATGCTTCAAGTGTTTCAGATGTTCCAAAGGTATGTTGCAAATCTGTTTATATGGATGTTGCAAAAGTAGATCGGGGTGTTGCATACGTTGCAATGGCTATACACATATGTTGCAAGCGTCTGTTCCAAATGTTTCATCTGTTTTCAGACATATGTTGTAAGTGTTTTATCTGAATGTTGCATATGTTTCATATATACGTTGCAAGTGTTTTATCTGGATGTTGCATATGTTTTGCAATGGCTTTTAAGTGTTTTTGTGTATTTTGCAAGTGTTTCAGACGTATATTGCAAGTGTGTTTAGCTGTTTCACACATATACTGCATTTGCAAGTGTTTCATTTAGATGTTGCAAAAGTAGATCTGGCATTGCATATGTTGCCGTAGGACCCACATGCCGCAGTAGCCGCCTACTGCAGTTGTTGGTGCGCCATTGTGCATGCGTGTGGGAAGCGGAGGGGGCGCGAGTGGTTCCTGCGTGTGGAATGGCGGTGCAGGCGACGTCTTGGTGATGTAGGCCCCGCGTCAGCGCGCGAACGCAGCATGGCGGATTATAGGCGCGGGCGCTGGTCCAGAAACATCACTGCGAGCAGCTCGTCCCCCATCTCGCTTGCGTGGCATTACCGCCTGAGGCCCTGACGCCCTCCGCACACAAGCGAGTGCGAGGCGAAACCCTAGCCGACAGCCGTGGCGGCGCAGCCAAATCGCCGACAAGGCAGACGACAAGCGGGGAAGGAGGTGGCGGCGTCACGGCCAGCTCTCCTGGCTCCTGCACGCGCGCGCACGCGCGGCCAAATCGAGGAGAGGGGGGCGCCCGACGGCGCAGCCACGGGGCAAATCGAATAAGGAGGTGGCCGCCTGGGCGGTGGCGCGGCTAGTATCTACTGTGCTGGATGCGCGTAAGTGGGGGCGGCCAGCGGACATGCGACCAACTCGGCAAGTCCTGTAGGCTGTAGCCTGCACAGTCCTACAGAGAAGCAGGTGCTCCTTCCTTGTTTGTTTTCCTTCAGCTCTCTTTTAATTTGTCTTCAGATGACTGAATTTCTGACGTGAATGCTCTCTGCCTGAACGTCTTGTGAAGTTATTGTTTGGCCAATGCCTTTGCTCACCTATATATAGTAGATCTCTATCATTATGCTAGTTGCTAGGATGTACAACGATAAATTAGCTCAAATTTGAGTAGCTCATCCATACTAATGCTTTATGATCTTGTTTCGTGTGGGAGACATGCTGTGAGATCTAAGCTAGTGGAATATACAACTTCGACATTTTCTTTGTTTTGCTTGTCAAAACTAGATGCATATCCTATTTCAGTTCTTATTGTACCAATGACATCGTTGATGTTCATACTTGGCTTGTGCAGGAGAATTGTAAGATGCAGTGCAAGTGATGAAATTAACTGAGTATTGTAAGATGCAGTGCAAGTGATGAAATTAACTGAGTGTTACAAAATAAGGTATTCCTGTTAACTGAACTAGTCCATCAATCCATTTCACCGGAGCCACGGGACCACGATCCTGAGCACACCTTACACCATTTCACTAAATTTATCACAACCAGATAGAGATTATACTATACTTAAATGGGTATTGTGTTAGGAAATAAACAGACAGAAGAAGTAAAGATAATATTTTAAGCAATGCTAGAGCACAGGATTGATGAGCTATTACTGTATAATATAGCACAACGGTACATTAATAAGATGTCAAATGTGTGCACAAACATTGCACTTATTACACAAAACCATCTATGTAGCCTGATGGTTGATACAGACAATAAACATAGGCACTCGGTGTAAATCTGTGAGCATAGGCACAGCCATTATGCTCAACCACAAACACAAGGCACTCAGTTCAAACATGTGCAGCACACAAACGTGCATGCAGGCGCAGCAGACAGAAACTAATAGACAAGCAGAGCAAAGGCAAATAGGAATTAATCGACACAAACCACACCATGGGATCAAAGGAGAGGCTTCTCCAGAATCAAGCTTGTTTACCTTGCAGCGTCGTCGCCGTCCTCTTGTTCATCCCTTTTTGCTTAGTCTTCCTTTTCTGGTCCATTAAGTTTAAGACTAGGATTGTTCTTATGTTTTTCAATGGCCTTCCTCACCTCATCAGGGACTTGTGCACCGTTGAACTCGAGCTCCTTCAATCTGAGAAGTTCGTCGATGCCGGAGAGACATGTGCTAGAGGACCAGACAATCTTCTCGAGCCTAGGAGCAGATCCGCTGGTGAAGTCGATGTTGGTGATGGCTGAGCAGTTAACAACAAGAAGGTTGAGCCATAAGAACTCATCTTTTTTAAATATAATCTTGTTCTGTCTTCCTCCAAAAGACTTGTCCAACAGCACAAGACAGCGTATATTTGGATTCTTGGTGAGGATTTGTAGAGCATCAGGCCCTATTTCTGTACCACGAAGAGTCAACTTGGCTATTTGTGCGGCATTGCCAAATGATGATAGCAACCTGCCACAGAAGCTTTTGTTCAACTCAAGCTCTTCCAATTTTGGAAGCCGGTCAAGTCCAGAAATAGAACCTGCGCTGCCGAAAGACAGATCCATCTTCTCAAGTTCACAGGCTGATCCTTCCTCAAAAGTGATTTTAGTCAAGTCCGAGCCATCAACGAGAAGATACTTAAGACATATGAATTCTTCCTTCTTGAAGGTGAGCATGAGCTTGTGCTCGGTGTCGGTGCATGTAATGTCTTGGAGCCTGACACACCGTAACATTGGCAGCTTCGCAAGGACGACTTCCAGATCATCTTGGCTCACCCGGGTGCCACTTAGAGTTACCTTGGCAAATTTGTTGTCACAACCATTTACGAACAATGGAAGAAGACGCCCCTTGTGCATGGTTCCCCTGATGCTTAGACTAAGAATCTTGGGGTTGTTTTTTAAGAGAGAGCCAATGTTATGAGGTAACTCATCTGCACTAGGAGGAGTACCCGCCTTGCATGGTGTGGGTGTGGCTACAGGATTAGTAGTGATTGACAGAGAACTGAGGCACTCATGTAGGTCACTGACCGTCTGAAGCAAATTCTTGAGGTGACTATCCTTAACGTCGATGACCACACCTAGCTTCCTCAGCTGCCATAGCTTTCCAATATCTTTTAAGTCATGACTGCGCTGGGCCTTGACATTAGATAGTACCTCCATGTTTACCATTTTGTCGATCCCGTGAGGAATCCGGCCACTAGAGCTAAAATCGCTTGGATTATTATTCAGATCGATGTGACCAGCAAGCAGACGCTTCAGCTTCAAGAGCAGGATATTTTCTGTTGCATGTGGAGGCACCTTAGTTTGTCGGATATCCAATACCTCCAGCTCACGGAGATTGTTGATTTTACTGGGCAGCTGAGTAACATCTGTTCCTCTTAGGCTAAGATACTTGAGCAATAACATCTTGCTACAGATGTCCTCGAGGTAGCGTTGGTTCTTCCCGCCAAAGCACTTACAACCTTCTAGATCTAGCACCTTCAGCAGACGTGTCTCCACTCGAGATGATTTAGAGAGCCTCTGGAAGAATCCATCAATTTTGTCAGAGCTGCGGAGTTGCAGATCATTGAAAATGGAGAAGTGGCGAGCCAAGTGATGTGACAGACGTGTCTCCAAAATATGTTGTTTTCTGGCCATCTTGGTAATGAATCCATGGACTAGATCACTAACCACGCAGCTCTTGACCTTTCCTGCAGCACCAGTTTCAGCAGGATCAACAAGGCACCGGCTGATGAGCTCATCAAAACATCGGTTGGCCTGGCGCACAGAACCGGGCCAATCTTCCTTGCATATCAGGCCTTCTGCTACCCACCGTCCAATCAAGGTTGACCGCCTGATCTTGTATCCTGGAGGGAAGATAGCTAGGTACAGCAAGCAGGACTTGTATTCTTTAGGCATATCGGTGTAAGAGAACATGAACATCTTCTTAGCAATGATATCTGATGATGATTTTGGTGAAGCCTGTAATAAGTTCTTATGCAGCTTGTTTAACTCCTCATTGCTCCTCTTGGGATTAACGTACAAAGCATGAGTAAAGATCTTCATGCAGAATTCATTTGATTCACACTGCTCCAAGATAATGCGATAAATCTGCGGATCGTAGTTCTTTTCATTCTTCCGCTGCTTAGTAATCTCGAGCACTGTAACATGGTAGAAGCCAACGAGAGAATAGTCTATAGGTTCACTCTGTGGGTAGCAATATTTTTTTGCTTGCTGGATGTCCTTTGCGGTGGTTACGAACAGTACATCTCCGCTCCATTCTAACAGGTTCAAAGCATTTCTGGTATCCTCCCATCTGGGTAAATCCACCGTCTCATCAATTTTGAGGATAAACAGGGGACATTTCTTCTTCAGTTGACATTTAATATCGTCCAGGAGCCCTTTGATCTTCAGCTGCTCTTTGAATTCATGCCTGATTTTATCCATTTTCTGGTGCACTATTTCTTTGAAAAAAATAGCTTCTGTGTTTTGACCTGTCTGATCTTGTATCTTGTCATCTTTGCCTCCGTGCAGCTCCCGTAAGATCTCTTGCTTTGACACATCGATCATTTGTTTGATTTGATCCTCTCCAAATATAGTATTTGTAGCTTGCATTGCTGACGATTTGTTGCTGCTGCTGCTGCTCTTCGGGAACACTTGCCGCAGGATGTGTACATACTGATCTAAATGGAGATAAATCTTCCTTTCTTCTTCTTCTTCTTCTTCTTCTCTTGTTGAGACGCAGGCAGAGATGACCAGAGTAGCTGCTTAAGAAGTGCATGTAGGTCTCGGTCCTTCTGATCCATGTCCTCCTGTTGACCCTTTGGTGGTTGATTTTGAAGACCACTCTTGATCTTGTCAAGCTTTGGGCCCTTCTGATCCATGTCCTCCTGTTGACCCTTTGGTGGTTGATTTTGAAGACCACTCTTGATCTTGTCAAGCTTTTCATAAATCTTCATCTTTTCTATACTGCTCTTGCTTTTACAAAACACTGCCTTTTTTTCTAGATAAATACGGCATTTTTGGGAGTATTGTTGCCGAAAATCAGAATCCGCCTCCCCTTCGCCTTGATCTGTGCCTTGCTTTAACTCGAGCTTGATCTGGCGCAAGATGTAGAAGAGAACCTCCTTGGGTCGTAGTGGTAAAAATTCCAAGTGGAGTGCCGGAATGTCGATCAAGACAGCGAGATGGTAGCCGCTTTGGTACTCAAAGCCGGGACGGAAAACCGAAGTTTCACGTACAAGAGTGATAACATCCTGATATCTGTCCGGCGGGGCCCCGATGACGAAGGACAGCGTCTCGCTGCCGTCGGCGTCGCATGCAGCAAGAACCATATTATTTATCCACTCCCGTATCTTTGCCTTGACGTAGTCGTCCTGAGTGAGAGAAAACAATGCCCTCTGGGAAGAATGATCGGTCGTCGCCAGGGTCGACCGATCATCGTCACCGTCTTCTTCATCATCTCTGGCAGCGTAGCCACCTGCTACCGCCGCCATTAGCCTAGTCGCAGGAGGCGACTGCCCTGCTGCCGACTTGGTCGGGACCTCCACGCCGTACCTCAATCGTCGCTCACCGACATCGCGCGCCCGGTCCTTGAGCTGGCGTAGCTGGGCCGCAGCGCGGTGCTGCGCGAGCAGCTTGCGCAGGAACCAGTAAACCCACCAGAGGTAGCGCCGGAGTCTGCCCTTGGCGCGGTGGATGTCCGGGTTCCCGCTGTACAGGTAGAGGTCGATGCAGTTGTGGCAGTCCTGGGCGAGCAGCCGCACCTGGGTCATCCAGGTGCGCACCTGCTCGTCGTGCTCCCCGCCGGGGGGCGTGCTCCGGGCTAGGTGCGCCAGGAAACTCTTCATGCTCTCCATCTCCTCCTTGATGAACTGCACGTCGTCCTTGACGCCGCCAAGCAACAGCGCCTCGTTGCGGACGACGGCCAGCAGTGAGCTCACGGCGCCAGCCGCTAGCTCAGTCATGGTGTAAGTTGATGTGGCTCACTGGCTCCCTCCCTCCTCCTTCCCGTCGGCCGGCCGGCGACAGACTGGTGGTTGGTCTCGCTCTCGCCGTCTCCCGGGGGCAGGCTAGCTGGGGTATGGTGGCGATGTTTTGTGTGCTCTCTGCTGCGTCGCACTGATAGTATGCCTTGGGCAACAGACGAGTTATTATGGGCTTATGGTTGCTGGCTGCTGATTTCTAGTTGGAGTGTTGGACTGGGTCTCACGGTCACGGGCTTTGAAGCACTAGCCGAGCTGGGAGGTGGTGAAGGACCGAACGGTAACCGAGGCATTTTTTGATACGCTTATAATCAGATTATGGATCCCTAGCTGCAAGATCACCAATAATCGTACCAAACATCCTGTGGTTTCTACGATTACTGAAGGGTTGAATGAGAGCTAACAAATTTTTTTCTCAAAAACTTGATCTTTCTAATCAATTTTTTTCTCATAAACTTGATCTATCTTATCTTGCTAGAGGTCGTAATAGAGTCTCCATGTTAGTTATCATTAGACACACTAAAAAAGATAGATGCAAGAAATTCAATAATTAGACACATTTGAGGTTTAATTTGGCAGACTCTAATCATCATCTCTAATAATAAATGTTGAATCTATTCTATTTTATATAAAAAAATACTCACTTTTGCCATGAACGCTAATTCTCACAAAATGTGCTAGAAACAAAATAGATCCTACAAAACACAATAATAGTCAGAAAATCTACCATCTAATTCGGTAGTCTCTAATCATCATCATCATCATCAATAATAGCCGTGGGATCTATTATGTTTTTATAAAAAATACTCACTTCTGCCATGAAAAAATACAAGAAGGAATCCCCTGTGTTTGCATCTAAATTACCCATGTCTACCGTTATAAAAGATAATCAAAATAATACTAAATTTGTATATAAATTAGCCATCTTTATCATTGTGTAAGATAATTTAAAATAATCCTAAATTTGTATCTAAATTAGCCATCTTTATCATTGTGGAAGATAATTCAGAATAACACCATAAAGCATCTAAATTACCCACACATGACATGATGAAAGATAATTCAAAATGAACCTATACATTTTTATATAAATAAACTACCCACCTCTACCACTATGAAAGATAATTTTAAATAACCTCCCTAAAATCTTTTATAAATTACCCAACTCTACTATCATTGAAAGATAATGCAAAATAACCTATAAACCTGCATTCCAATAAGCCATATATGTCACTATGGAAGGAAATATAAAGTAACACATTTTAATTCGTATCCGAATTATCTATCTCAACCGTGACGGAGAGTAATAAGACAAACGGTCAAATAAGAAATCTAAAAGTAAAAAATGACACTTTTAATGGAATGCAGGGAGGGAGTAATAAGCTGGGTGATGGGCTGGAATTTGAACTTGTCTGCCTTCCAATTCCATGGACCCCCGTGACCGTGAGCCGCCGTTCAAGTCAAGTCGACGCTAGCTGAACCTTGTCGTCAGTGAGGAAAAAAAAAACAGGCGAGCTTGAACATTATTAAAGTCTCGTTTAGTTCTAAAAAGTTTTCAAAAAAGTGCTACAGTAGCCATCACATCAAATCTTGCGATACGTGCATGGAGCATTAAATGTAGACGAAAAAAAACTAATTGCACAGTTTGGTTGAAAATCACGAGACGAACGTTTTGAACCTAATTAGTTCATGATTGAACACTAATTATTAAATAAAAACGAAAATAATACCGCAGCCAAACTCTCAAATTTCAAGGCCTAACGCAAATTCACTTTCGTTTGGTGGTGCGCACTAAATGGCCAGCGCTACCCGTGTACGGTGCACAGTACAGATACAGCAGACGCAGTGATGCACCCGGACCTATGCTCATCTGGGTCGTCCTTTTTGTTGCCGGCCGGAACCCGGAAAGATGGTCCCCACTCATCATCACAATGGCGGCTCTGGGCCTGGGCCTGAGGTCAAGTCAAGATGTTGCTGAAGCTTGTCGCAAGAGAGAGAGGGAGACAGGCGATGGGCGTCCGGCGACGAGCGCTGCCTCTCTGGCTGCTCGCTCATTTGTGTCTTGTTCCTGTCCTGTGCCACTGTGACGACACAGAGAATGAGAGATGGACGTACTAGCAGCCAGCAGCACGGCAGGCCAAGTGTGAGCGCCCTCACCTCTGACCTCTACGTATCTCGTGTGCACCGTTCCCACGAGGCACCAACCACTGGGATCGACATATATTGCATTAATTATTGCTTGTTTTTGGTTGGTGCTTTGTCTTCTATGTGAAATCGTTATTACTCTGCAAGTTTATCGGGATGTTCCAATATGAAATCGTTTTTACTCTGCAAGATTATCAGGGTGTTAGAAGGTATGGGACCTACCACTCCACTGGAGCAGAGAGAAAACTTAGTAATCTCTCAGTTCCAAAACAAGGGTCGCTATAGTATTCGTGAGGATGGATTCGTAGAAAATATTAGTAATATATATATATATATCAAAATAAATTTATTATTAAAATAGATTCAACGATCTATCTATTGATACTAATTATGTAATATAAATATTGATATTTTCTTGTATATACTATATGGTTAATGTTGAACTTATCAGTCCGGCTTATCAACAATGGTATATTGTTTTTCTCTCACAGCAAAATAGCATCAGTCGATTTATCACCCGCAAAAACTATCAGCCGAACAGCTCTTGACTTCTCGGAACATGAGAACGACACTGATTTTAGTACGGAGGGAGTAAAAATTCATGTCTCCCTCTCTGCTAGTCAGTTTTTACTTGGCTAAGATGCTCAGTTTTTGGGTGTGGGACATCCACAAGGCACAATAGCTAATTGTTTATTCATCATAGTTCGACTCGTCTAGTATACCATTTTAAGTCTGACATGTACGGTTCGACCTCCGCAATGTGCACGGTTCGCTTTTTCACCTCCCCGGTTCGATTCTCCAACACACCGGAGCTGCTCTCACGGCGGTTAGGGATGGCAATTGTACTATACCTATTGAGTATCTGTAATTTGAGAATAAATATCAATAACTATAATATGTGAGAAATGTATATCATACACGTGAGAGGCAGCGCGCGTCGCCGAACGCTCTATTTCCTTCCGGGGTGGAGGGAGTATAGGCTGTCCTCTGACAGAAGAGTCAGTGCGGAACTCAAATTCAAAATAGGTCTTCAATACAGTATCTATAGTCTCCAACAGAATACCTATATAGAAGATCCATTTTGGGTGCCAGGAGAAGCATAACCCAAATCTAAGTATCCTCTCTCCTGAAGACCCATTTGCAGAAAGGATTGTCTTTTGTGTCTGGATGTTGGAGAAGACCAAAAATAAGTATTGAACCATTTACCTTTAGCGCTACTCAAATAACAAATGTGTCTTATATTTTAGGTCGTGAGCGTTGAAGACAGTCTACGCCGGCCGGCCCACCTCTACTGTACTCAGTTCTCGGGGCCGTGGGGGCACTGAGGCACTGTTATATTGTGATGGCCATGAGCTGCTGCTGACTTGTGCAACCATTTCACTGTCGACACAGCCACAAATCAAAGGAACAGGACACACCTGACCATGAGCAGCCAGAGAGGCGACGCGTGTCGCCGGACGCCCATCGCCTGTTTCTCTCTCTGCTGGCAAGGGTCTTGACTTGACCCCAGGCCCAAAGGCCAGAGCCAGCCATTGTGATGATGGAGTGATCAGTGACCATCTTGCTGGGTTCCGGCAACAAAGGACGACGCAGATGAGCATAGAGGAGGGTCCGGCCGTCCGGGTGCATCACTGCGTGTGCTGTGCCTGTACTGTACACGAGCAGCGCACCACCAAACGAAGTAAAGGCGCCGCCCCTTCATTTCAAGCTCGCCTGATTTTGTCTTTTCTGCCGACATGGTCTGGCTGCCTGAGTTTTACACGATTATACGGAGGAGTTGTACTCCCTCCACAAAAAAAAAATACATGTAATTATGGATTGTGTGTCAGATAAAGTTGTTTATGTTTGACTTAGCCATTGTTTAGTTCGTGAAATTTGGATTTTGGGGCTACTGTATCATATTCATTTTTATTTGGCAAATAGTGTTCAAACATGAACTAATTAGGCTCAAAACGTTCGTCTCGCAATTTCCCACCAAACTGTGCAATTAGTTTTTCTTTTTGTCTATATTTAATGCTCCATGCACGAGCCGTAAACATTCGATGTGACAGATACTGTAGCAACTTTTTGGAAGTTAGGGTGAAACTAAACAAGGCGTTAGTACATCACCACGCGTTTGCAACCGATCTCTGATCCGCCGGTAGCCTGCAGCTCCAGAGCATGTCCGAATTGCTGCAGGACAGTAGCAGGTGCTGAAAGCTTGGTTGCAGGCTACGGAAGACAACGCCGTTCCTGTGCTTCCACAGTTCCAGCAGCAGAGGAGGAAGGTAGAACCTTCTGTTGTCGGAATTTGTTCAGGCAAAACAGAGCACCAAAGGTTGCTGGCAGGAGCGATCTGGGTAGCCACCCTCCTTCCGACCTTGTTCCAGAATTCTTGTGCAAAAGGGCAGGCAGCGATAATGCACAAGTAGCGTTGTCCATAATGTGCTTCCTGTGGAGATTCTGCTTGCATTGTATCCGGTTCCTCTCTAGCTAGCAGCCAGCCCAAGAACTCGAGTACTTGACCCTAGGTGGTGCCCGGCTGCGCCAGATGAAGGTGTGGAGGCTTTTCTCTGCCTCCTTAGCTATGGAGGCCTTGTAAATTTTGCCTGACAGCAGCCGGTGGGTCGTGTCTTAAAAGGCGCAAACTCTATCATCTACATTCTCCGCAAGATGAACGTTGTTCATGGTGGCTCCCAACTGCACAAATCCTTCTGTTGCCAGCCCGGATTGCCGCGTCTGGATCCGGACGATGCCGCCGCTGAGATCGGCGGCATATACTTCCTGCACCATCACGTACGTCCTTCACAGCCATGCGAGACCCCAGATCATACCAGTAGGACGTGGACGCACCGTCCCCACCGTCACTCTCGTGACGTCTCGATGTGCCGGCAGGGCGGCAGGAGACATCGGAGGGTACCCCAGTAAGGTCAGGCAAAGGGAGATCTAAGGCTGCGCCCGTGCAGCCCACGAAGAGTTCTCTCTCTGGGTGGTGTAGGCGGTGGATTAGTTTCAGCAGAAGGCAGGCGTTGTGTGTGTAGCCAAGGTTTTTGACACCAAGGCCGCGCCATCCTCTTTTGTCTTGCAAACTGCTTCCAGGCAATAAGGCCCCGTTTAGTTCTTAAAAAGTTTCCCAAAAAGTGTTACAGCAGTCATTACATCGAATCTTGCGATACGTGCATGGAGCATTAAATGTAGACGAAAAAAACTAATTGCACAGTTTGGTTGAAAATCGCGAGACGAACATTTTGAGCCTAATTAGTCCATGATTGAACACTAATTGCCAAATAAAAACGAAAGTACTATAGTAGCCAAATTCTCAAATTTCCCATACTAAACACGGCCTAAGGCATTTTGCACCATTCGTCTTCTGCTCCAGCGGTCCAGCCAGATGAAAGGACGTCGTCTCGCATCCAGAGTGTCCAGCGCTCCTTGCGGCAGCATGAATGCGCCCATGATGTACGTAGACAAGCCGTACGTCCATCAGAGAGAGTTGATTAGAACCAGACGTCCACGGTCCACCATTGGGCGCCAGACAGATAGAGTAGCGATCTGCATCTGCCCTGCCAATTAATAGGGCGAAGGCCGACAGGCGGAGTTCAATGTTGGACAGAGACAGCCCAATTGCATGGTCGCCTCTGGGAAGGATTCTTCAGCGCTCGTTTAGGGTCGGACAACAAATTTCGCCAGGGTAAATTCCAGTATCCGTTTCAGCCTGTCGGCGTACGTCCTGTTCCTCACCCCGGAGCTGAGAATGAGGACGCATATCGATCGTCTATTCGTCTTTTATCCCATTGACAAATCTGCTACTGCAAGTCAGATTAAACATGGATCTAAGCTCCCATTGTCGATAACCAAATTATTAAAACACACAGATGCAACACCACTTGTCCCGGATGCATATTAATTAATTAATTAATTACACATATATAGGAACGGAGGGAGCAATACGTACAATCGGCTTGTTCGCTTGTTGGTTTCTGGGCTGGTTTGGGCTGGCTGGTGCTGGTTTGTTGTGAGAGAAAAATACTGTTGGCTAGCTGGTTTAGGCTGGCTGAAACCAACAAGCGAACATGGTGAATCTCTATAATCTAAAGAGAAACGTTTCAGTAGCTATTTATTAATTCACGCTGTTATTAAGTCCTACTATATATAGAGAACATGAGGTCGGCCATAGGCACACAGGATGGGGCCACCATCTCCGTCAGGGCACAAGAGGAGGTGCAAGCTTCTGCTGACAATTCGCCTAGGCACACGCCTGTGTGTGGCCGTTATGATGAGAGCAGTGGAGCCAGCACAGCTGCGGGGACACCCTTCTTTACTGAGCAGGCTAGCTTGGGACGTCTTGGGATGCGTACCGGTCAATTTTTTCTCATTTTTAACCGTGTGTATAAAATATTAGCAACATTTACATCTCTAAATAAGTTTATTATAAAAATAAATTCAACGATCTAGATATAGTATTGTCGGTGTTTCGAACAAACACCGTCTAGTAAATTTATACTTGATGCGCGTTAGGTCCGGATGGTACACTAATGGACACAAGGTTTATACTGGTTCGGGCTGAATGTCCCTACGTCTAGTCTGTTGCTGCTCGTGTTATTAGCACCGAATGAGGTTCGTAGTAGGGGGTACAAACGGTTGGAGAGGGAGAGATCCCAAGTCCCTGATGGAGTAGTAGAAAGAACGCCAAGAGCTTTGTTGCTGCTAGCTTGTATGGTGCGTGTGGGCGTGCTAGCTCGTCCTGCCTTTTTTTCTCTCTTTAGTGGGGAGCCCCGCCCTCCCTTTTATAGACAAGGGGGGGGAGGGGGGGGCAGGCGTTTACAGATGGGGGAAAAGAGAAAATACTAAGAGCGCGGAAGGTCCTTTGAGAGACCCGAGTCTTCCTTCTTCCCCACGCCTGCCCTGCCTATAAAAGATACTAACATTCATGATATAAAATAAATACCATTAGATTAATTAATATATTTTTTAGTAAACTTTATTTACAACGTGTTAATACTATTCATTACAAATTTGGTCAAACTTAAAATAGTTTTGACGAGCACAATCCCCATAGTTGCATTCTTTTGTTGATGGCGGAAGTAACTAATACTTATGTCTTCTAATATTCTAGTCCGTGCGAGAGCACGGATTGATGAGCTAGTTACTCCTTTCGTTTTTTATTAGATGTCGTATTAGTTTTGTCCTAGTCAAATCTTTTTACTATCAATTTTCAAAAGATTTTATATAGATTCATATCATAAAATTTATGCTTTTAAATTCACTATAAGACATACTTTCATAATATATCATTAATATGTTGTGAAATTATAAGGATTTCCTAAAATGGTTGGTTAAAGATAGTAATATTTGACTTAGTATAAAGCTAATGTGGTATGTAAAAAAACGAATGGAGTATTTAAGAGAGGGTTCCCTTTGGCTAGCGTGTAGCAGCCCTACCCCCCTACCCACGAGAGATGAGACCTAGTGATACCATAAGGCTCTTTTTGAATCCACAACTGCTAATAGTTAATAGCTATCAACTATTAGCTAGCTAATTATTAGCCGGGGCGTTCGATTCACTGCTCATAGGTAGTTGGGATAGCTTGTTCGAGATGCATATAGAGTGTCAGCACCTATTAACATAGGCCCGTCTATTGGCTAAGGCTAATTTTAGTGAAAGTTTTATGAGTGCTTTATTTGTATTTAATAGCCAGCTATATAAGCATTTTTTAATGAAAGGACAATGTTTTTATGAAGAGTGAGAAAAAGTGAGTTTTATGGGGATGAAACTCTCTTAACATGATTAACAACTCTATAGAGTCACATAATTAAATGTCTATGAAACCGTAGAACGAAACTATCTATTAAGAGTGGAGCTTTCCGTACACATATTTTATTTTATTGTAAGTGATGTGGACATATGGTAGTCTTAAAAACAACACCATGAAACTCTCCGTCGAGAATGACCTAATAAACAGCTAGCACAGTTAGCAGGTCTATATTAGTGGTCCCGTTTGAAGGCCCACGTGTTAATTTGCATCCCGACGGTCCCTAAGTCCATGATAACTCGTATAGTCGCATGTCGCCCAACTCACACTATGCACAGCACACAAAACATCGCCACCATACCCCAGCTAGGCAGCTAGCCTGCCCCCGCGAGTCCAACTATCAGCCGGGCGCCGGCCGGCCGACGGAAGGAGGGAGGAGGGAAGCAGGGAGCCGCTATCAACCATGACTGAGCTAGCGGCTGGCGCCGTGAGCTCACTGCTGGCCGTCGTCCGCAACGAGGCGCTGTTGCTTGGCGGCGTCAAGGACGACGTGCAGTTCATCAAGGAGGAGATGGAGAGCATGAAGAGTTTCCTGGCGCACCTAGCCCGGAGCACGCCCCCCGGCGGGGAGCACGACGAGCAGGTGCGCACCTGGATGACCCAGGTGCGGCTGCTCGCCCAGGACTGCCACAACTGCATCGACCTCTACCTGTACAGCGGGAACCCGGCCGGACATCCACCGCGCCAAGGGCAGACTCCGGCGCTACCTCTGGTGGGTTTACTGGTTCCTGCGCAAGCTGCTCGCGCAGCACCGCGCTGCGGCCCAGCTACGCCAGCTCAAGGACCGGGCGCGCGATGTCGGTGAGCGACGATTGAGGTACGGCGTGGAGGTCCCGACCAAGTCGGCAGCAGGGCAGTCGCCTCCTGCGACTAGGCTAATGGCGGCGGTAGCAGGTGGCTACGCTGCCAGAGATGATGAAGAAGACGGTGACGATGATCGGTCGACCCTGGCGACGACCGATCATTCTTCCCAGAGAGCATTGTTTTCTCTCACTCAGGACGACTACGTCAAGGCAAAGATACGGGAGTGGATAAATAATATGGTTCTTGCTGCATGCGACGCCGACGGCAGCGAGACGCTGTCCTTCGTCATCGGGGCCCCGCCGGACAGATATCGGGATGTTATCACTCTTGTACGTGAAACTTCGGTTTTCCGTCCCGGCTTTGAGTACCAAAGCGGCTACCATCTCGCTGTCTTGATCGACATTCCGGCACTCCACTTGGAATTTTTACCACTACGACCCAAGGAGGTTCTCTTCTACATCTTGCGCCAGATCAAGCTCGAGTTAAAGCAAGGCACAGATCAAGGCGAAGGGGAGGCGGATTCTGATTTTCGGCAACAATACTCCCAAAAATGCCGTATTTATCTTGAAAAAAAGGTAGTGTTTTGTAAAAGCAAGAGCAGTATAGAAAAGATGAAGATTTATGAAAAGCTTGACAAGATCAAGAGTGGTCTTAGTGAACCACCAAAGGGTCAACAGGAGGACATGGATCAGAAGGGCCCAAAGCTTGACAAGATCAAGAGTGGTCTTCAAAATCAACCACCAAAGGGTCAACAGGAGGACATGGATCAGAAGGACCGAGACCTACATGCACTTCTTAAGCAGCTACTCTGGTCATCTCTGCCTGCGTCTCAACAAGACCAATTGATGAAGGACAAAGACATGTCTAATAAATTATCAGCATCGGACAATACCATCCGTTTAGTAGCCGAGAAGCTTAAGGAGCATATGGAAGCAATAGAACAAGGAGAAGAAGGGGGGTTTGGGGGAGGAGTACAAAATGGAGCAGTAGAAGAAGATCATGAAGGAGGAAAACAAAAGGTAGAAGTAAGTCGAGGTGGAGAAATAGTAGTAGTAGAAGAAGAAGAAGAAGAAGAAGAAGAAGAAGAAGAAGAAGAAGAAGAAGAAGAAGAAGAAGAAGAAGAAAGGAAGATTTATCTCCATTTAGATCAGTATGTACACATCCTGCGGCAAGTGTTCCCGAAGAGCAGCAGCAGCAGCAACAAATCGTCAGCAATGCAAGCTACAAATACTATATTTGGAGAGGATCAAATCAAACAAATGATCGATGTGTCAAAGCAAGAGATCTTACGGGAGCTGCACGGAGGCAAAGATGACAAGATACAAGATCAGACAGGTCAAAACAAAGAAGCTATTTTTTTCAAAGAAATAGTGCACCAGAAAATGGATAAAATCAGGCATGAATTCAAAGAGCAGCTGAAGATCAAAGGGCTCCTGGACGATATTAAATGTCAACTGAAGAAGAAATGTCCCCTGTTTATCCTCAAAATTGATGAGACGGTGGATTTACCCAGATGGGAGGATACCAGAAATGCTTTGAACCTGTTAGAATGGAGCGGAGATGTACTGTTCGTAACCACCGCAAAGGACATCCAGCAAGCAAAAAAATATTGCTATCCACAGAGTGAACCTATAGACTATTCTCTCGTTGGCTTCTACCATGTTACAGTGCTCGAGATTACTAAGCAGCAGAAGAATGAAAAGAACTACGATCCGCAGATTTATCGCATTATCTTGGAGCAGTGTGAATCAAATGAATTCTGCATGATGATCTTTACTCATGCTTTGTACGTTAATCCCAAGAGGAGCAACGAGGAGTTAAACAAGCTGCATAAGAACTTATTACAGGCTTCACCAAAATCATCATCAGATATCATTGCTAAGAAGATGTTCATGTTCTCTTACACCGATATGCCTAAAGAATACAAGTCCTGCTTGCTGTACCTAGCTATCTTCCCTCCAGGATACAAGATCAGGCGGTCAACCATGATTGGACGGTGGGTAGCAGAAGGCCTGATATGCAACGAAGATTGGCCCAGTTCTGTGTGCCAGGCCAACCGATGTTTTGATGAGCTCATCAGCCGGTGCCTTGTTGATCCTGCTGAAACTGGTGCTGCAGGAAAGGTCAAGAGCTGCGTGGTAAGTGATCTAGTCCATGGATTCATTACCAAGATGGCCAGAAAACAACATATTTTGGACACACGTCTGTCACATCACTTGGCTCGCCACTTCTCCATTTTCAATGATCTGCAACTCCGCAGCTCTGACAAAATTGATGGATTCTTCCAGAGGCTCTCTAAATCATCTCGAGTGGAGACACGTCTGCTCAAGGTGCTAGATCTAGAAGGTTGTAAGTGCTTTGGTGGGAAGAACCAACGCTACCTCGAGGACATCTGTAGCAAGATGTTATTGCTCAAGTATCTTAGCCTAAGAGGAACAGATGTTACTCAGCTGCCCAGTAAAATCAACAATCTCCGTGAGCTGGAGGTATTGGATATCCGACAAACTAAGGTGCCTCCACATGCAACAGCAAATATCCTGCTCTTGAAGCTGAAGCGTCTGCTTGCTGGTCACATCGATCTGAATAATAATCCAAGCGATTTTGGCTCTAGTGGCCGGATTCCTCACGGGATCGACAAAATGGTAAACATGGAGGTACTATCTAATGCCAAGGCCCAGCGCAGTCATGACTTAAAAGATATTGGAAAGCTATGGCAGCTGAGGAAGCTAGGTGTGGTCATCGACGATAAGGATAGTCACCTCAAGAATTTGCTTCAGACGGTCAAAGACCTACATGAGTGCCTCCGTTCTCTGTCAATCACTACTAATCCTGTAGCCACACCCACACCATGCAAGGCGGGTACTCCTCCTAGTGCAGATGAGTTACCTCGTAACATTGGCTCTCTCTTAAAAAACAACCCCAAGATTCTTAGTCTAAGCATCAGGGGAACCATGCACAAGGGGCGTCTTCTTCCATTGTTCGTAAATGGTTGTGACAGCAAATTTGCCAAGGTAACTCTAAGTGGCACCCGGGTGAGCCAAGATGATCTGGAAGTCGTCCTTGCGAAGCTGCCAATGTTACGGTGTGTCAGGCTCCAAGACATTACATGCACCGACACCGAGCACAAGCTCATGCTCACCTTCAAGAAGGAAGAATTCATATGTCTTAAGTATCTTCTCGTTGAGGGCTCGGACTTGACTAAAATCACTTTTGAGGAAGGATCAGCCTGTGAACTGGAGAAGATGGTTCTGTCTTTCACCAGCGCAGGTTCTATTTCTGGACTTGATCGGCTTCCAAAATTGGAAGAGCTTGAGTTGAACAACAGCTTCTGTGGCAGGTTGCTATCATCATTTGACAATGCCGCACAAATAGCCAAGTTGACTCTTCGTGGTACAGAAATAGGGCCTGATGCTCTACAAATCCTCACCAAGAATCCAAATATACGCTGTCTTGTGCTCTTGGGCAAGTCTTTTGGTGGAAGACAGAACAAGATTATATTTAAAAAAGATGAGTTCTTATGGCTCAACCTTCTTGTTGTTAACTGCTCAGCCATCACACTGATAGAGAATCGAGCTTTACTCCCGGTGGGGAACCCCCTCTAGTCCCGGTTCCCCACCCGGGAGCAAGCATCCAGGACTAAAGGGGGGTCCTTTAGTCCCGGATCAGGAACCGGGACTAAAGGAGGACCTTTAGTCCCGGTGGGTAACACCAACCGGGACTAAAGGTGCCTCCTGACATGCCACGATGGCCGGCACCTTTAGTCCCGGTTGGTAATACGAATCGGGACTAAAGATTTTTTCCTTTTCTCTTTTCTTTTCATTTTTTTGTTTTCTTTTCAAAATAGGTTTTCGAAGTCGTATTGTACGCTGCTAATTATACATTTATACGCGCATATAGTATGTTTCGGTTCAAGCACAATGAACGTATTAAATCACACAATTCAAGCATAGAAATATATATATATATATATATATATGCATGCATGCATCATATATATATTTACATGCATGCATGCATATGTGTATTTTACATTATATTATTTCATGTGCATATATTACAAAAGATTGCATTACAGTTGTTGTGACATAACAAGTTTCCTCTCATCCTCTAGCTTGGCTTCAATGGCAGTGTTAGGTCGAAGTAGAACTCGCCCTTGGAATCAATGACCTGCTCATTAAAAAATCCGGCTATAGACTCTTGAATTGCTTTGATTTGGTCTTGCCGTATGACCTTTTCCTCCAACCATCGAGTTTATAGGTTTGAATTAAAGGAAAATAAATTAATATATGTACATATATATATATAAAGACATAGTAACACAATCAATAATAATAATTAAATGAATATATAGTGTATTTTTAACGTACTTTGAGTCTCTCTGTAGGAGTTCTTTGGGAGAGCACCTTGATAAACTTGCAAACATAGTAACCCCCATGTAGAGACACCAGAAAAGATTTGTCATCCAATCGGTGATCCGGTGAAAGCTATATGTTTAATTAATAAAGATGATGCGATTCGGGGACTTACTTTCAAAGGGATTACATTCAAGTGGCGCTTTGCATTTTTCCATGTGTTGCTTCTCAATAAAGGTTTTCCAAACAACGCCCAATAAAAAAATTTGCCACGTCATCGAGATATAGTTAATCATCATGTTTGTGTGTATATATAGTTGCTAGAGATCCCGAAATTACCTCGGATAATATCTATCATATCTTGGTAGTCTTGTTGTGGTTTCTCATCGAGTCATAGATTATCAAGTGACTTTTCACCAGATCGATGTCCATCAATATCTAGTGATTGCTGCATGTGTTTATAGGATATAACGCATAACACTCATTAATTAACTAGAATCAACATATGAGCCATTAAGGATATGATCGACATGATTAACACTCACTTGAAGTTATAGGGAAAGAGTATATCCTTCTTATGGCGTTGGTTCACTAAGAAGTTCATGAGGTTACTCTCTGACTCAGACTTCCAATTAGTCTTTGGAGTAATTGGGTCTTTGAATATTATATGGGGATCAACAAAACCAATTTCATTGCAGCCTTCCTTTCTGAGCTCTGTCATTGTAAATCTGCATATATATAGTACTTGTTAGAATAATTTATATACATATAGACACATATGATGAGTTTAATAATAGATCGACAGAATTATTACTTACAGGCAATAGCAGCTAATGATAACTTTGTCCAGAGAGGTCAGGTGGCATAGTTGATGAAATTCTACAAAGTCAACATACATAACATCATCGCCACGGAACCAATGTTCGTCTCTAATTCTGACACCAACGCAGAAGTCTCCACTGGTAGACGCCTGCATGTACCACTGTTTAGCAGGGTACATTTGCGTCCCCAGATCGAGATAAGGCTTGAGGGTTGTATAGACTCGGCCTAGTACAAATTTTTCTTCCAAATATCAACCTCCGCCGCACTCTCAATGTTTCCATCACCAAACATCGGTAAAGGTCGAGACCAGTCTCATCAAGAAATTCACCAAGGTGATCCAAATCGACATCCGGAGGTATGTTTGCTGATGCATTAATCCTAAATTGAACCATATTCATTACCAACAACTAGCGGGGATTGATTGGTGCGCTTGTTGTCCGAAAGTTGGGCAACTCCTTTCCCGCCCCGCTTTTTTCGTGCCGCCTCAATTAACTTGGTGAGAGTGCGGTCATAGTCCGATAACGTTGATTTGGATGGCTTACGAAATTCCCGTTGTTGTTCTTTGGTAAGAAATCACCTTTTTCTTAGAATATCTGGAGCTACTGAAGAATCACGATTTCTCGGGTTTCTCCTTGCTTCTTGATTCATTTTAAGTTTGTCATAGAATCTAGACATGTCTTTTTATATGCATCAGTTCCTTCTTCCTTCTCTTGAGATATTATTTTGGGAATAGCCCTTGGTTTCACGGCTTGGCTTTCTTTGTAGGCGAGGACCGTCTTCGTTTGAGGGGCTGGCCTCTTGCTAGGCTTCTTGGTAGGCGGGCGGGGGGCGTTGGAGACCTCCTTGGAGGTGTTGGCGTGGCGTTGGAGACCTCCTTGGAGGTGGCGGCTGCGGCGTTGGAGACCTCCTTGGAGATGGTGTGGATGCAGCCTCGTCTTCCAACACAATGTCATCGTACAGAGCACTATGATGATCTGGCGATTGAACAATTGGATTTAGGTTGGGGGAGGATCTGCTACAAAAAAAAGGAATGACATATTATTATGAGCATATTGTTAATTATTTAAGCCAATACAAATTAATGATGTAGTGTTTTCATCATCCTTGCGTACCTATGGTGAGGTAGTTTAGGAGGAGGTGGAGCCGACATCCCTAGAATGATGATGTAGCGCTTGCGCCATAGAATGAATGTCTTCTCCGCTTCTCCTAGAGTCTTCTCGCCATCACCTCCAGGAATGTCAAGAGGCAAATCACTAAAACCTTTTTCAGCTTTATCTACCGAGATGGTAGCATATCCTTCTTGGATTATATTCCCATGAATCCTTGGTGTCTTGGTTCGGTCGATAGGATTAACAAGACCGATAGCCACCTTGATTGTGGAATTCTCCTTGAATGTGTAGCTCACACGTTGTACAAGGTTCGGTGACGTCATCCACACATCCGGGAAGCGCAGATCCTGTGTCCCCTTGATTTGGTATCTCCGTGGAGCGCTTGTTGCTTTTCAAGCTGAGCAGTTGGCTAATGTTGATTCCTCGGCTCGATGCTCGCTTGCTTGCACTCACCGCTATTTGCACTTGCCTTCCGATTTCCTCCTGCATTTTCGCTTCAAGGTTTTTTTTTCCGCTCGTGCTTCACGACCGCTTCCTCCAACCTCTAGAGCATTGTGCCTCTTCTTCCTTCTTTTCTGGCGACTTCAGAGGAAGGTGCATCTGAGGGAATCCATGCTCCCACGAGACACTTCCTTTGCCTCTAGTTCGCCACCATGTTCAATAGTCCCGATGGCGTATGTCGGCTCATCCTTCTCTCTGTTGGGCCTGAGCGCACCACTATGATAGCTCTCTCGAGCATAAAACAATCTTCTGCTGCTTCTTGCGGTCTTGCGCCATAAACGCACTTCCTCTCTCTGGTCTAGTGTTCCCCGTGACCGAAAAACCAATTCTTTGCACGTTCTCCCCACTCGAGTGATTCAGTGCGATACCCTTGGCAAGAAGGTGCGCTTCCATTTTGTTCCACTTCTTAATGGCGGTCGGGTAGCCACCGATCCCAAGGTATCGTGGTATGTCTACATTGGGCATTACGTTGGTTCTTTATCACCCGACTCACACCCTCTTCCAAAGTCTTGTATTGTATAAACTCATCCCAATAGGGCCTCTCGCTTTGAGATCGGGCGGGACGGTAAAATCTGGTGCTATGTTCTTCTTGACATACGTCGTGTATAGGTGTTTCTTCCAAGTCCAAACCGGGTGGCCATCTTCTTCATTGCCCAATCCCTAACTCGCTCCTTCAATTCATCACCATCTATTATATCATCATAACCATCTGTTTGGAGCGTGAAATGTACCAAGACATCATTCAAATTAACGCCTTGTCACGATCGGAGACAAAACCGATATGAGGAGCATTGATCTTCTTCTTCCATTCACGGGTACTAATCGGGAGCCGGTCCCATACAAGGTAACCACAGTGGTGCACAAATTTCATTTTATTCGCCCCCCGGGTTCTCTGTATCCACATTGAACTCCGAGATGATGAAGCGGCCCTCAATGGATTTTTGGGACCTCGAACATTTTACTCTTCGTTGTAGTTGTTGATGTCGATCCAGAGGGCTACAAAACATAAACATTATTTTTAATGTCATGAGCACACATAAGACATATGATAATATATAGCTAATAATAAAAAATATATACTTGGCCAATCTGTTGTTGCTCATTTTGTTCAAGAGCTAAATCTTGACTCCGTCATCATCGCATCCTCTTGCACGTTATTTTAGCACCATCATCGCCAAGCAACTTGAGTGCCGGTGTTGATCAAATTCATCATCAACTCCTCCTCATCCATGTTTCTCGGGTCGGCCATCTAGCTTCAAAAAACAAAACCAATATATAGTACGTCAAATCTTTGCTTACATGCGTAAAATCTACGAACAATATGCATTATTAAATCTTGCCCCTCGGTCACGGACGCAATTCGCCACACTAGGACGAACTACGTCGGTACTAGGGCGAATTAGGGCTATACATAAACGGCCGAGGGCAAATTGCGTCGGTGACTAGGACGAACCACGTCGGTGACATCAACAGCGCGGTTTGCCCTGGTGTGATTGTTTAGCATTAACGATAACGATAATACGAATGTTGATCAACTAGGCCACGAGAAAGGGCGGTGTGACAAGAGTGGCGGTGCTCCACTCCGCCCGTATATATGTCTCTGTACACATGGGTGAACGAGGCGGCGGTGCTCGCCGTATACATAGAAACGCATGTAGACGAGCGAGGCGGCGGTGCTTCGCGACGATAT